CATTAGCATTTCACCATTATATTTTTTTTATATGTGAATTTCACCATGAAATTAATTCTTTTCTCCATTATTTCATTTTCGTTCCACAAAATTAAAATATTTATATCTTGTGTTGGGCTATGGTAAGATTGATGTTTGCTTATTGAGGTTAATTTTTTGGTTGGCTTAATTTACTTATCGTATTTGGGCTGACTTGTTTTTAAAAAAAAATATTATTTATTTAATTAAGTTTTATTTAATTACATATAAGTTTTAAGGTAAAGTTTTAATTAAATTTTAACAAAAATAAATTTTGTTTTAGAAAGAATCTGATATTATTATTATTATTATTATTAAGATTTTATTTTATTTTATTTTAAAAAAACTGTTTTTCGTTTGGTTTGACTTTTTGTTCGTAAAAAAAATGGTATTTAAGAGAGGACTGAAAGCACATCATGCACGGAGACACGGAGACAGACAATTGGAAAAAAATCTCATTCACTTCTTTTTCACCACCATCATCTTCCCCTTCTTCCTTCACCATCTCCTCCTATATTTATTTATTTATTTATTACCACCACCATTTTCTATTCTTCTTCAACCACACCGGCGACCCCACGGCATCGGTAGGTAGGCCCGGCGACCTCCGACGACAAGACTCTGACAGCACACGTCCCCCGGCCCCTACAAGCTTCGACAACTTGTAGTCCGGCGCAAAGGTCTACGATCCCGACGAACAACAATAATAGTTTGTTTTAAATAAGTTTGTTTTAAATATTTTATTTTTAAACAAGTTTGTTTCAAAGTGACTTTTTTTAATAAGTTTTACCACAATAAAAGTTCGAGCCTCTACGTGTAACATGATTTCTTTTTATTTTTTATTATTGAATTATTTCGAAAACTCCAATGACAGGTTTTCATCCCACTCATACCTGTTAATTCATATCTTATAAAAAAGTGTAAATTAATATAAACATTTCAATCAAAACATTTTTTTCCCTTTTATTTGGACCAAATAAAGTAATAGGATGAGTGCCAGCACCCTCCCTACGCTTAGTGGACTTGGACTCCCAAACCAAGAATCTGTTTTTTTTAAATAGACAATCAATCACACTCATTTGGTGGCCACTCCAAACCCTAAAGAGACCCTTCGCGATAATAGTCTTATATAATTTATAACTCACAATCACGAGAGGCTCCATAGACAAAACTTTTATAAGAAGGCCTTATAACTGAATTTTAGCAACAACAACAATTCATATTTATATTTTTTCAATATCTTTTTCTTTATTAATTAATTCTTGAATATTGTTGTAAATTGTTTTTTTTTAAATCTAAATTGTAAATCATTTCGGTCATTCATATTAAATATGTTTTCATTATTATACTCATAATTTCTAAACTAAGAACTAAGATTTTTCCAATATTTAACTCCTTCATTCCCTAATTTTGTATTATATTTACTACCAAATAACTATTGCAAAAACTATAAACGTTACCAAAATCTAAACTAGCCAGTTTCTATTTGTTTTCTGCCAATAATTTTTTACTATAATGAATAATAGAAAATTGTCTATAATTTTCATCTTTTAGAAAAATTAAATATCTTTTTCTAATGAGATATTTTTCTACCAATAAATCAACTAATTTAGAATCAATATTTTCAGATTTTCTATATTTATTTTCTTCTCAAACTTTCCCTATCCAGATTTATATTTTGGTGTAGATACATGGAGATTCTAAATAACCAAATCTAAAAAAAAATATTAAAGTATTGAATCAATCAACAATATAAAATAAAATAAAATAAACTGAAAAAAAATGAATGAAAAAACCTGAAACTTTGAAGCTGCAAGATTATTGATTTGAACAAATAAGAAGTCTGATTTATACTCTAATCATTGATAATCACATTTGAAGTTGTGAGACACCAAAAAATCAAAGATAAAAAAATAGACTTGAGAGAGCATGAAAGAGGGAGGGAGTTAAAAGTGAAAATGAGTCTAACCTATCTATTTGAAATTTTTTTTAGGAGAAGTTGAAAAGTTTTATTTGTGAAAAAGAAAAATAGATAAAGAGATAAAGAAATATGGGAAGTCTCAACTTAAACTTTGGAAAGTTTTAAGGTGGTTGAGATTTTTAAGAAACTTTAATGAAAATTGTGAAGAAATGATTACAAATTTGAAAGGGTTGTCAATCTTTAGTGAAATTTATGACAAATTTATGATTATGATTTTTCTATTTTCAAAAATGTTATATACATCGTTAGCTTTTATTTTCAATATCATAAGAAAAATGTAGGAAAAATATATTATTTTATAATTTTATTTTTATATATAATTAAAAACTAAAAATAAATAGATGACAAAATTATAGTATATATATTATATATTATATATTATATGAAGAATACGAGGCTCTTCTAAAATCGGGGCCTTAGGCGATCGCCTCATTCGCCTATAGCTTAAGCCGGTCCTGGTTACAATGGTATATAGTTTATATAAGTTGTTAAGAAGAGTTTTTCAATATGGAGTATTATACTATTCTATTCGGTTTTTTGAGCATATGCTAGTATGTTATTTTCTTTTTTTTTTAATTGTATTGGGATATAGTCGTATATACTTTATAGTTCATATATAAGTTTATCTGAACTTTATTTCGGTGAATCAATTTTTCATATTGCACTCAACACTTATAGGTTATAGCCAAATATATTTTATATCTCAATGGAAGTTTATATTATAATGGTTGAAGAGCCATAAAGCATGAATAGTAAGAAAATATATCAAGCTGCAGTACTCCATTATCATCTTACCTCATCATACCGATAAGTTTTGTAATGTATTGAAATTGAGATTGAGCCAAATATTAGTGAGATTGAATCAATATTACATTTGAAATGTATTGAAATTGAGCAACGAATTGGAATGAAATGAAAAAATCTTTTGTAATAAATTTCATTCTTTAATCAATGAGTAAATTAGGGGATTATGAGGAATAATTGATTTGAGACCCACAACAATATAATGTTTAAAAAATCAAATTTGGAATATTAAATCTTTTACATGTAAATAAAAACTAATTATAATACACATAAATGCCATAAATAAGGGTAAGTTTGGTATTTGGGAAAAGTTTTAAACCCACAAATCTAAAACTCTAAATTTGTAAACCTCAAACATTTGTGAAAATAAATTTTTAAAACAGCCCATCAAAGATATTAGATCTTTAACTCAAGTTTGAACCCTAAGAATAAAATATAAAACATAAATTAAACTTCTAAAACTTTGGGATTTAACATTTAACTAAAAACCAACATGAGCATTTCAATGGTAATTGATATATACTTCGGATGAAAGTCAAGTTGTACTAAAAAAAATTTAACTAAAAAATATTCTTTTTTCAAAATTCGAAAATTAAATTATAAAAACCAAAATTAAAATTCACCACAAAGATCCAATAATCCACTCTAACGAGTTGGGGAGAGAATCTAACTAAAAGATCTTCTAAATTTAAATGGAAACTAAAGGTTAAGAAGAAAAATTGAATTCTAGAACTTGAACTTGGGACATGACGATTTAATTCCCAAATTGAATTAGTCCTTTTAACTAACGGGATTCTAAGCGGGTAGAAATTAAAACTAAAACCACTACAACAAATAAAATATTTAGCGAACAATGCACCAGCTAAAGCAAGACGTTACAACACGAATGGAGGAATCTAAGCAATCGTCGTGCTAACTCTAACACTACTAGATTCTTGAACCATGGGTTCTTCGTTTCCTATTCTAACCCACCACATATTTGTGTACTTTTGATTAATTTGGAATAAGTGAGTTATTTTCACGTAATATTAGTTCAATTTAGTTTTATTATTGTGTTCGTTATTATAGCTTTTTGTTTCTTTAATAGAATCATTTTAAATCATTGATATGTTAATGTATAGTGTTTTCAATTATATTTTATATGCATGAATAATATTATTAGTTGAAGCTAGGGAGAACATACCAGATTCAAATTTACATAGACAACTATTTAGAGCCCGTTTGATAACCATTTTAGTTTTTGGTTTTTGGTTTTTCTTGTTTTTAGTTTTTGGTTGTTGGTTTTCTGTTTTTAAAAAACAAAAACTATATATGTCTGATAACCATTTTTTGTTTTTTGTTTTTAAAAAGTTATAAAATTGAAGAGAGAAAATTTTATGTAGGGTAGAGATGACAATGGTGTGGGTGCGAGTAAGGATGCTCTCCCCCATTCTCGTACTCATGAAAATTTTTAGCCTCCGTCTCCACCTCGTTCTTGGGTCCGAGAGATGTTCTCAAGAAAAATTATCGGTTTTATAATTGTTTTTAAGTATTTTTAGAATTTAAGTATAAAAAAAGTGTAATAAATATATATTAATTATTTAAAAAATGGAATCGAGGACGGGGACGGGGTCGGGACATGCATTTCCTATTTATTGGACCCGGCGGAAATTTTTGTCTTCCCCCTAATGTAAAGACATGAAAATACAAGTTTAGAGACATGTAAACAAACTTTTGAAAGATAAATTTTAGAGAGATAAATAAAAAGATTTAGAAAAAAACTTGAAAGAAAAATTAAAGACAAAAAAAGGAAAACTGTAGAGAAAAAAATAAAGTCGAGAGGAAAAGATATGTTAAAGAAAAAAAAATTATAAAGAAAGAGAAAAATTACAGTGGAAACAAATTTAGAGATAATAACAAGATTCAAAATATAATTTTTAGAGAAAATAAATAAATACAAAGATAAATAAAAGTTACAGTGAAATAAAATTGAACGAGAAAATAAAATATAATTTTCAAAGGAAAAAATATGAAGAGAAAGAAAAATTATAAAAGATGAAATTTTAGAGAGAAAAAAGTTAGGAAAAATATTAAATTTTTAGAGAGAGAAATGAAACTGGTCTGTTAGAAAAAAAAATACATAAAAATTTGGAGAGAGACAAATAATAATAAATATTTAAAATATGAAAATTTTAGAGAGAGAAAAAGAAAGTTTGTAGAGAGAAATTTAGAAATAAAAAAATTTTAGAGCGAGAAATAAATATTTTAGAGATAAATATGAGAAAGAAAAAAAAAGTTGAGTATTAGAAGAAAAAATCAAATTTTGAAAAACAAAAACCTATTTTTGAAAGCTATTTTTTTTTGTTTTTTAAATTACGTTGTTTGGGGGTAAACGTACCCAAGACACGTGGAGGACCCTTATTAGTATTTTAGGGAAACTAAATAGAAAGGATTGCTTAGGTCCACCTCGGCCTCGCCGAGGTGACCGAGTTTGCCCGTTATAAAAGATGTATGGGCACCAAGGTTCGACCTGACTGGGGTCCGACCTGCTCGGAACCCGACAAGTCCGATATGAGAAAAGACACGTAATCGCCGGTCGTGTGTGCTGTCAGATCCATCACCTATAAATAGAGGACTTCATTTCACGCTCAGGTATCGAATCTCACCTCGAACTAAATAAGGAGTCCGATCTATACTGACTTGAGC